TTTTCTTAATTTGATTCTCTTTCTTCTTTATGTATTCCTCCTTTTCTCTTTCTCTCTCTCTCTCTCTCTCTCTGGTGTCAATCGGTAATTCCTTCCTTCCTTCCTTCTTTTCGTCACCCAATATAGACGCAGTAAGTATTATACGCACCTAACCCAACTGAACCCACACACGCACACACACACACACACACACACACACACACACACACACACACACACACACACACACACACACACCCACACACACACACACACACACCCACACACACACACACACACACACACACACCACACACACCCCACACACACACACACACACACACACACACACACACACACACACACACACACACACTTGGGCCTCCAGTTCCTCCCTTACTCCCACTAATATCCTCACTCCCGATTATTTTGGTCACGAACCGCGGCCATGTTTATCGTAAATCAGTGATAAGTGTCCTTGTGCCACGCCCACACACGCCCTCCTGCCACGCCTACAGTGACTGCCGCGCCACCACACTCACGCTCACAGTCTCACAGTTCATATATGCCAGCTTCGCCCACAGGAGCTATTACAGTACACCCACACTTATCCAATGCGCCCACGTACGCTTCCCACCAGTACACCAGCCCACAGTCTGCCGCTACGCCCACAACATGCAGCTACGGCCCACAACATGCCGCTACGGCCCACAACATGCCGCTACGCCCACAATCAGCCTGCACGCCCGCACACGTCGTCAAAATAGCATGTAGGGATCTGCCTCACCTTTGCCAATTAGCAACCAGGTGGTGCTATTCTTAGTACGCCCCCGGCCTCCTCCCCTACCCATAGCCGCCCCTCCACCTGCCGCCCCTCCCCTCCCCCACCCCTCCCTCCCCCCTTCCTCCCCCCCTTCCCCTCCAATGACGTCTTACAGGTTACATAATGACACAGGGAAAATATGTCCTTTCATTACCAACGTCTGTTTATACTTTACGAGTTCGAGACAACTGTTCGTAGCAGAAATACCCTGAGCGTCACTAATGAGTTATAACACCTGAGTTTTTGTCTCGGCGTGAGGCAGGTGTGCGAGTCTTGTCCTTTTCATGTATATAGTTGTATCTTGGCTGTATTAGTTGTATTTTCGCAGTAGTAGATGTATTTTCGCTGTATTGATTGTATTTGGGACGATGAAGAACACGAATTAAAAATACCTTTAATTTGATGTTCTAATGTCACACACCAGGTGACAGACCCTGCAAGTACATTGGCACCACTCCATGGCAGCTACCATACTACCATAGTCACCACTCCATGGCAGCTACCATACTGCCATAGTCACCACTCCATGGCAGCTACCATACTACCATAGTCACCACTCCATGGCAGCTGCCATACTACCATAGTCACCACTCCATGGCAGCTACCATACTACCATTACACGTTTTCATGGTAGAAACGACATTCATGGCACATTTCCATGGAATGACGTCACTGCCGTGATCAAGGGCAAGGACGAGACGCGTTAATTATTTTATCTCTTGTTTTTCTCGGGATTTTTTTTACGAGTTCAAGGAAACTTGCAGCACACACACACACACACACACACACACACACACACACACACACACACACACACACACAGACACACAGGAAGCATATGCACTATATATATAATATATAATATCACAGGTGACACCTCACTCCTCCCACTGTTAAATCACCCTCCCGATAGGTAAGTCCCCCCCCCCTTCCCTCCATCAGGTGAGGTGAAGTGGGGGGGGGAGGGGGGCAGACATACTCACCCTTATCCCCGTCTTGCTATTTATCGAGTCACTTAAACGTGGCCGCTAGTCTATTAAGCGAGGAAATATATTCACGAGGGTTGTGTTTTAATAAGCGCGGGTGGGTATAATTGGGGAGCCATCAGCTACGTGCCGATTATAAAGATTCTGTTGAGGATTTATGTTAGGTTATTATGAGCGTTGGTGTTGAGGTGTTTATTATAGGGAGGTGGACGGTGATGGAGAGTCACCGGTTAATTTATGGGTAATTTACATTCCTATTTAGTCTTTTAAGAAAATTATTTTGTTTATTTTAGTTTATGTAGTGATGGTGAGAGGAAGTGATGGTGAGAGGGAGGTGAGAGATGGTGAGAGGAGAGGTGGAGATGGTGAGATGAGAGGAGATGGTGGGAGGAGGATGGTGAGGAATGGGAGGAATGGTGAGAGGAAGGGAGATGGTGAGAGGAAGGGGGAGATGGTGAGAGGAAGGGGGAGATGGTGAGAGGAAGGGGGAGATGGTGAGAGGAAGGGGGAGATGGTGAGAGGTAGGGAGAGGTGGTGAGAGAGGGGGGGGAGTACACCTGCTCACTGTGTAAAGAATGAGAGCTTTCATGCCTTCAGTAACTCCTTTTATGACCTTGCTATAGATTAGGTTATGTGAGGTTAGCCCTCGGGACACACAACACACCCAGCCCTCGGGACACACCACACCCAGCCCTGAAACCCTCCCTAAAATATCCCTTGAAAATGCCGAGGAAAACAAAACTCAATCTTGTTTATATAAAATTTTAGAGTTTCATCGCTGACTGGGAACCGAAACACAGATACCATTACAATCACAAGTTATAATATGGTGGAAGTCAAAATATCTCTCTCTGATGATGACTGTGGGACGAAGATGAAGACGAAGACGATGACTCCCATGCAGCTTCTTGAGTCTTGACTGAGAGATGAACTGTGTATCCGAGAATAAGACGAGGGTAAGACTCCGGGACAAGAATTCTTATTCCTCCTTCACCCAGAGCCTCCCCACCAGAAGTTCAATATGAAACCTGGATGGGGAGATGTTGTTTTTTTAAAGAATGAGGCAATTTTTTAAGACACATTCGTATAGGATAGTCTCCTCCCTCTTCCCAGTAACCCTCCAGTTACCTCTTACCACGCCCCCAGCGCCCCCAGCACTCTCTTCTCTGCTCTTGTCTTCTCTCTCTACCACGCCCCCACCACTCTCCTCTACCACGCCCCCAGCACCACCCTCTACCACGCCCCAGCACCACCCTCTACCACCACGCCCCCAGCACCACCCCTCTACCACCCCCAGCACCACCCTCTACCACGCCCAACCCAGCACCACCCTCTACCACGCCCCCAGCACCACCCTCTACACCACGCCCCCAACCTCAGTGAGAAGTTGATTTATTCTATTTGAGTGGAATAAAAAGTTGTAAAAGAGTTATTATTTTGCTAGTCAGTTTGCTATTTTATCCAGTCTAGTTGTGATTCAGTGTACTAGAAACATCCGTATGAATGTTTCTATCCAATGAGGCGTCGGCTATTGAAGGTAATGCTCGAAGGTCCTGCTTAAGATGTGGACAGCTCACTTGATGGTGATAAAATAAACGAATCGAATTGTCTATTAATGACCATATATTTTAGTGAAGATTAGTCCCCATATTTCACCTTAAGATTAACCTAACCCAACCCAACCCAACCTAACCTAACCTAACCTAACGTAACCCAACAAGCCCATGACAACATACCATTTAAAAAATAAAAGACAGGTAATATTTCTAAATCATTTCTCTCACACAAATACCCCCAACAGGTGTTTAAACCACTAATTAAAAAAAAAAAAACAGATCAAATTTAATGGGTAAACTTGGTGTTAAATCAGTGAACCATTTCTAGACGTGTTGACTGCAGTGGTGTGATAATTGAGCTTCATTTGAGCCGGAAAATCATGTCGAATTATAGGGGTGGGGTGGGGTGGGGTGGGGTGGGGGGGGAGGCTTTACCTGTCGTTTTCAGAGCGACCAAGTGTAAGTATGTTTAGAATATGTGTATGAAGGATGAAGTGAGTTAGTGTTAGCTATCAAGGTTGGATTAGGATGGCGTTAGGTGAGATTGGGATGGCGTTAGGTCAGGTTAGGTGAGATTGGGATGGCGTTAGGTCAGGTTAGGTGAGATTGGGATGGCGTTAGGTCAGGTTAAGTTAGGTTAGGTTAGGTTCGCGTTAGGGTGGTTAATCTTAAGGTGAAATTTGGGGGTAATCGTAAAGTAATCCAAAAATTATGACTTCATTATTGCGTCTAGGAAACACCCCCACGTGGGAATTCCTGTAACCTAACCTAACCTAACAACATAACCTAACCTAACCTAACCTAACCTAACCTAACAACATAACATAACATAACCTAACCTAACCTTCAGAAACTGTAAGAAATATTATTGTAACTGGAATAAGAATGATCCACATCTTTTGGTAAACACTGAAGAATGACGTCATTATCATCTGGACCTTCACACACATGTTAGGACATTAAACCACATGATTATGTTGTTTGTTTGTTTATTTTAGGACTTTGACCACAGTTAACAGTTATTAATAGTTCAAGTTAACTGGTTCAGATGTCGCAATTTTTTGTCATAATGACGGTAAAGCACACACACACACACCCACACATGCAAACATACATACACACACAAATACATACACATACACATACATACATACATGCACACACACACACACACACACACACACACACACACACACACATACATACTGTACATACACACGTTACACGCGTGAACCACCAGATTTACATTTTAAATTATGACATGCCGCCTGCAGCTCCATTTGTGCTAAATTATGGCTGAAAGAGAAAAGATGGGAAATGTAGCAGTAACGACTTACACACACACACACACACACACACACACACACACACACACACCCTTTATTATTTATTATTGTTTGTTTGAGTAAGACGAGTTAAGTCACTGAGGAAGGTCTTAGCCCCTTGTGGACGGTTTCTTAATTATATGGATACGATGAGCTGTTTGCCCGAGTACGACTTAGTACTCAAGGGGTTAAGTCATTTGTCTTAGCACTCAAGGAGTTAAGTCATCCTATTCAAGGGATTAATTTATTTTGTTTACATATCTATAAAGTGTTTCAATATTCTTCAATGTTTATTATAGATGTTAATTAATGTTACGTGTTATGTCGACAGGTTGGAGTGGACTGGTCGCCGTTTGGAGCAGCTCTACACCCTGGCTCCCGCGGCCTCTCTCTACACGTGCCGGGCGAACAGGTAAGACTTAGTCAATCAGGTGTGTAACTAGTTGACTCTTCGGCCATAAGAGCTGGAGAGGTGTGATGATGTCGTGACCCCTGCTGTCCGTCCGTCAGTCAGTCAGTCAGTCAGTCAGTCAATTTAACTCGTGTTGCTTCCTTACTCTATCCTCAAGAATCATGTATTTTCTGAATCGCCATCATCACCGGGTGTATATTTCGAAGGTAAATCTAGTAATTGGTTCTCGTATGCGCGTAATTTATATATTTTGTTATTCGTGGTGAAAAGTTCAAGCCTTGTGAAATAATTTGCTTGATTTCTCTCCAAACGACGAAAAAATAACCCCCAAGAAAACTTTATATATATTTTCTGACTCCTGATTCCTCGGTGTGTCTCACGAAGATGAAATAGGAAGGGGATGATCGTAATTTACATAATTTAGGATGCCAGCAACACCGCCTTTGAATCTGTATATAGTGGGTGTTCGCTTGATTCCTTCCTCAGTGGTTGGTCACCCATGGTTAATATAGGACTTTGTTTCTCTCTCTAGTAAAGTATATGGGTGAGAACAGCTGGCCATAACCATCCCCACCTCACTGCCTCGCCCCCACGTCACTGCCCCGCCCCCACGTCACTGCCCCGCCCACAAGTTCCTCTCCAGAGTATTGTGCCCCCACACGACTGCCCTACTTCTCTGTGTATTGCTGTGTCCTGTAGCCTCACCCTCTCCCCTGTAGCTCCTCCCTTTCTCCCTTGTAGCTCCTCCTACTCTTCCCTGTAGCTCCTCCCCCTCTTCCCTGTAACTCCTTTCCCATGTAGCTCCTCCCCTTTCCCATGCAGCTCTTTCCCCTTTCCCATGTAGCTCCTCCCCCTTTCCCATGTAGCTCCTTCCCCTTTCCCATGCCTCCTCCCCCTTTCCCATGCACCTCCTCCCCCCTTTCCCATGCAGCTCCTCCCCTTTTCCTCCCCCCTTTCCCATGCAGCTCCTCCCCCCAGCTCCTCCCCTTTCCCATGTCCTCCTCCCCCTTTCCCATGCAGCTCCTCCCCCTTTCCCATGCAGCTCCTCCCCCTCTCCCCTGAAGCTCCTCCGTGTTTAGCGAAGGGTGTGCCGTGGTAAGCGAAAAGTGTGTCGTGTTAAGCTGGGGTGGGGTGTGTATCGTAGACCAGGCAACACAAGGCTGAGAGAGGGAGGCAGTATTAGATTATAGGATATATGATCTTTATAGTAAACACGATCCACCGCGATGTTAGTGGACCAAACCAGGTTATGTGGTTCACAGTCAATATGTTTTTGTGTTCTCGAGGTCGTCTGGTATTTTTAGGTGTTGCGTGTTGTAAGAGAGCGGAGTGGATCTTATAATGAGCGCTGACCAGAGATAAGATGTAAACACTTGATGTGGGTAGTAACAGAGGAGATGCTGGTGGTCTTAAGGCGACAGAAGGAAAATACTTTTGTGTATGACGTTGAAGAATACTTGTGTATGCTGAAAAAACTAGTGTACAGAACTCGGATCAACGCTATGTATGTATGTATGTATATGTGTATGTACTGATAACATGTGTAGACCAACTTACCTCCGGGGTCTGTGTACACTAAATTCCTCTCCTCATCCTCTTTCTCTCCCCCTCCTCCTCCTCCCCCTCCTTCTCTTTCTCCATGACTTTAATCCACCATATTTTATCTCTCTCCCTCCCTCTCATCATTTCACTACACTCTCCCCTCCTCTCTCCCAGACTCTTCACCACTCCTCACTCTCCTCCTCCACTCCTCTCTTCCCCTCCACTCCTCTCTCCCCTCCACTCCTCTCCTCTCTCCCCTCCACTCCTCTCCTCTCTCCCCTCCTCTCCTCTCCTCTCCTCTCCCTCCACTTCTCTTTCCCCCACACCTCCCTCCACTCATCAAACCTCTTCCCTCCACCCCCCACACCTCTCCCCTTCCTATCTCCACATCTTTCCCCCTTCCCCTCCACTCCTCACTCTCCTACACACACTCGCACACCTTTCCGCAGGGGACAACAGACAATAGTCGGGTCACACTAACACACATCAACTTTCCAACAGGTTTTGCGTCATTCGTCAGGTAGAAAATTTTACATGTGGAAATCAACTTTGTAATTCAATTTCATCTGTCGTCTGTTGCTTCACCTTCGATGTGTTGTTTATTAGCATTTTTCAGTCATGGATTTTATTTCGACATTTTCTGCAACAAACAAAAAACATTATTGTATTTTTGCATTTTCTGGTGAGTAAATAAACTGGTACAATGCAAATTTATACGAAACAAAAATAAATTGTCTTAAATTCATTGATACATAACAAATTGATAGAATAATATACTGATACAAGACCAAGAAATTGATGAAAAATTAATAAACTATAACACTCGAGTCATTAGCTGTGAACGTCGATGAATGAGGCGAGTACCCAGACACCCACCCTGCCTGACGCCTCGATATCTCAGTCACTCATCTCAAATCGTCACTTCCTCCTCTGCTGGTTTTAGATTAACATGATCTACACACACACACACACACACACCCACGAGTTGATCATTAGGAATTTTCTTACGATTTTTTTTGTAAACTATATTGGGAGAGGAGGATAATCTAAGACCAGCCATCATAGTGTTTTTAATCTGACTTACGACATCCAGGTAAACTGCTCCTTACCGTCATCATCTTAATGTTGGTGTGTGTTGGTTGTGTTGGGGGGTGTGTTAGTGTGTTTGTTGGGGTGGGTGTGTTAGGGTGTGTGTGGGTGTGTTAGGGTGTGTGTGGGTGTGTTAATGTGTGTGTGTGGGTGTGTCCTGGTTGTGTGGGTGGATGGGCAGCAAACCTCATCACCTGTGCTGCTAATCTAAGGATCTAAGAGACACCTGTTCGAACCCTTCTCATTAACCCGAGTCAAAGAAATATAAACATCAGTATACGTAAATAGCTCGTGTGTGTGTGTGTGTGTGTGTGTGTGTGTGTGTGTGTGTGTGTCTGTGTGTGTGACTCACCTGTGACCCATTGGTATAAAATCACTCACCTGACAAGATGATTTTTACCTGTTTTGGGTCCACGACGGGGCAGGTGTGTATGTGTGTGCGTAGAGACGGGCTGAAATATCCATAACCCGAATGAGCTATGGACTGAGAGGCCCTTTACCTGCCTCCCATCATATATTTACGTCCCTCCAAAAGGATTCCCCACTGACGTTCACATCCGTCAAAAATAAGAATAACAATTTTAAAGTTTTCGAACGTGGAATTTTTTTTTTTTTCATTGTATTTATTTATTTTTTATTTATTTGTGTTTTTTAGATAGGATAATTTATTTCTAGATAGTGTGTTTATTGTTCCCTGCTCTTAACACCTGGTTCTTGTTTTTTTAGGTTAGTTTCTTGTCCGTTTGTCTGTCCATTTCTTTATTTTCTGTCTGTTTCTCCGTTCATCTGACTGTCCATTAGTCTGCCTGTTTATTCCAGCTCATATGTTTGTCTATCCATCTATCTCTGTGTTCGTTAATTTGTCTGTCTTTCTGTCCTATTCTCCTTTCCTTCTGTCTTATTTTTCTATCCACACACACACACACACACACACACACACACAAACGAAGACTTATGGTTATAGAAACATAATGGATAAGTATGATTACGTTTAGATGTATAACTATGATGATAATTAAGGGAATAGAAAGACGTATGATAGATGACCTTAACATGATGATAAATTATGGTTATGGAATTAGTATTGACCTCGTTAATGTTTAATTGGGTCTTTTGATATTCCGCTTGACATTTACGTATAGACAGATAGACAGACAGACAGGTAAACAGAGAAGAATGAGAAAGATAAACAGATGGACAGACAGACAGATAAAGACAGACACAGACACAAGCATAAAGAAAGAGACAGAGAAGGAGGGAAGGGGTGAGTGCATGAAGGATGGTTAGGGAGGAAGGAAGGAAGGAAGGAAACAGGTGAGAGTGAGGGAGAGTGAAGTGCTTTTCTGGTCGAGGTAAAACCGTGTAAGAGATGGTGGAGAGGGAGGGCGTGTGAAGGGAGAGGGAAAAGAGGAGGGGAGGAGAGGGTTGGAGGGGAGGGAAGAGAAGAGAGGGAAGAAGGGTGGAGAAGGAGGAAGGGAGAGTGGCGGGAGAGGGGGGTGGAAAAACAAAAAGAAATAGGAAGGTTGAGGAAGATGAATAAAAAAAACAGGTTGAGAGAAAAAGAAGAGGAGAAGAAGAAAGATAGGAGGAGGAGGAGAAGAAGAAAGATAGGAGGAGGAGGAGAAAAAGAAAGATAGGAGGAGAAGGAGGATAGAGGAGAGGAACAGAAAGGTACTTATATAGTCTGACAAATTTACAGGTAAAAAAATATACCTGTAAGGGCAGGTAATTAGCACAGGTTCGCCCTTAACACTTCAGGCTCTCGATATAAGGTACTTGAAGGGCCTCTACTTAGAAATATAAGTATAAGTGTGTAGGGATAGGATTGGTGAGTGTATTAAGGGAAGATTGGTGAGTGTTTTAAGGGAGGATTGGTGAGTGTATTAAGGGAAGATTGGTGAGTGTTTTAAGGGAGGATTGGTGAGTGGTTTAAGGGAGGATTGGTGGGTGTTTTAAGGTAGGATTGGTGAGTGGTTTAAGGGAGGATTGGTGAGTGTTTTAAGGGAGGATTGGTGAGTGTTTTAAGGTAGGATTGGTGGGTGTTTTAAGGTAGGATTGGTGGGTGTTTTAAGGGAAGATTGGTGAGTGTTTTAAGGGAGGATTGGTGAGTGGTTTAAGGTAGGATTGGTGAGTGTATTAAGGTAGGATTGGTGGGTGTTTTAAGGGAGGATTGGTGAGTGTTTTAAGGTAGGATTGGTGGGTGTTTTAAGGGAAGATTGGTGAGTGTTTTAAGGTAGGATTGGTGAGTGTTTTAAGGTAGGATTGGTGAGTGTTTTAAGGGAGGATTGGTGAGTGTTTTAAGGTAGGATTGGTGACGGGAGGAGAGGGAGAGGAGGAAGACTATAGAGTGGAATTAAAGAGATGAAAGG